GTATAATTCTGTCTGGAGAAATGGTGATTTGATGGCAACACTTAGCCCTGTTTTAATGGAGTGATCCAAGCACTGAGCCCACAGCGTGTGCTTTCCCAGCCCCGTGAGGAGATGTGAATGGTGTGTTGGTTGTATTATAAATTCATTCCCAGCTCTGCAATCTTGCTCAAAAGTGGCACAAATATTTGGATAAATTGTGTGTATTTCCAGACCACTGTATAAACATTTGTTAATTCCTATACTTTTCCTATTGATTTTTACCTTCCCAATTCCTGGAAGAAATGGTTGAGGTACTGAACAAGTACAAAAGCTCACCAAGGCTGCATTGGGCACCACTGACATGCTTAAAGTTAAACTACAAAGTTCCTTGTCTCTAAGCTTGTTCTTAGTTTACTGTCTCTCAGTAATCCTCTCCTAAAAACACCATCCTGGCTAAATGCTGTTTTCCCTTGCAGATCTCTAGAGCATCTGTAGCAAAGAAAGGAAGGGGAAATGCATTGGCAGTTAGAATCTTTGCTTTCCCCCGAGGCTGTAGTGCCTGTAAGCTGTAGTGTTTTATTCTGCAGTTAAAGCAAACCCTGTTCTTTGACCTCTGCACACAAGTAGCATCAGGAGCCCTTTGCCTACAACAGTTCTTGCACACTCATCTGCCAGCCAAGTAGGTGTTGCTGAAACAAGTGTAGGATTTGGGGGTTGTACATTGCTCTGTCATCCCTTAAAAATTTTGGATCCATAGGAAAAAAGCTTTGAAATCTCAGTGACGAGGTTTTAGTTTTGATACATCAAATGAAAGTGAAACTGAGGGAGAGCTGACACCATTATTCCTCTTAGAACAAGCACAGTTTGTCACTGAGGCTCTCCATGCTCCTGTGTTTGCATCCTGTGTGACTTGCTTTGGGGCCTCCATGCTCCTGTATTTGCATCCTGTGTGACTTGCTTTGGGGGCTTGAACACTACACAGTCATGAAAATGCCAGAAAAGGTTTGATGGATCCGTCAGAGTATCTGTTACTATCTAATTTGAAGCAGTAATTTTTTCAGGAAGCATACAAGAAATGGAGCGAAAATTGTTTTCTAAGTAAGACTATGAAATTTTGTGGAATGTGACAAGCATTTCAGTGTAG